AATGCATGCATGTCTTAACAGTGGAAAATCAGTCAATGTAATTCACCCTATTAACAGACTAAATAAGAAAAAACATGATTACTTCAAGAGTCAGAAAAGCAGTTGACAAAATTTAACAATCATTTATGATAAAAAAAACTCCCAGAAAACTAGGAATAGAAGAAAGCTTCCTTAACCTACTTCAGAGCATTTACAAAGAACCTACAGCTATCATCATATTTATGGTCTCCCAAAGATGTCCATGTCCTAATCTCTGGAATCTCTGAGCATGTTACCTGATGTGGCAAACGGGAATTCAGGTTGTTAATCAGCTGACTTAGAATAGGAAAGTCATCCTGGATTCTGGGTAGCCCCAATATAAGCATATAGGTCCTTAAAAGTGGAAGAGGGAGGCAGAAGATATGACTATGGCAGGACGACACAGACAGATGTAACACTGCTGACTTTGAAGATGGAGAAAGAGGGCCACGAGTCAAGGAATGGTGGGTGGCCACTAGAAGGTGGAAAGGGCAAGGAAACAGATTCTTCCGTAGAGCCTCCAGAAAGGAAGAGAGCCCCGCTGACACCTTGATTTTAGACCAGTGAGACCCATGGTGGCCTTCGGTTCTAGAGAATTGTAAGATAATAAATTCGTGTTGTCTAAGCCATTAAGTTTGTGGTAATTAGTGAGAAGCAGCAGTAGGAAACTAAGGTACTCCCTAAGATGGGAACAAGGCAAGGATGTCCTCCCTCACCACTCCTATCTGATATCCTATCAGAAGTCTTAAACTCTGCAATAAGGCAAGAAAAAGAAAAGTCATACAGATTATAGTCATGTGCCACATAGAGATGTTTCAGTCAACGACAGACCACATATATGACGATGGTCCCATAAGAACAGTACCATACAGCCTAGGTGTGTAATAGGCTGTACCATTTAGGTTTGTGGAGATACACTCTACGATGTTCGCACGATGATGAAATCACCTAACAATGCATTTCTCAGAAGGTATCCTCGTCATTAAGCAATGTATGACTGTAGAAAGGAAGAAATAAAACTGTCCATATTTGCAGATGACATGATTGTCTACGTAGAAAATCTCAAGTGTCTACAAAAAAGCCCCTAGAATAAATAAATATAGAATAGTTACATGATAAAAAGGTTAATACAGAAGTCAATTTTATTTCTACAGACCGGCAATGATCAAATATTTAAATTTAAAAAACATATGTACCATTTAAAACAGCCCCCACCGCTACCAAGAAAATGAAAAGCAAAAGCCCAGAGGTATTTATATATAAATCTAACAAAATATGTGCAGGAATCTGTATGCTGAGAAATGGACAGTATGCTGTGTTCACAGAAGGGAAGACTCGCTATTGTTAAGACGTCCAGTTCTCCTAAGCTGATCTGTACACACAGCACAATCCTCATCAAAACCCCAACAAACTCATTTTAAAATTTATATGAAAATGAAAAGAAACTAGAATAGTCAAAACAATTCTGTAAAAGAACACAGTTGGAGGACTCACACTATCAAATTCAAAACTTACTGTGAAGCCAGAGTAATTGACACTGTGGTATTGGTGAAAGGATACAGAGAACAACGAAACAAGCTAGACAGCTCAGAAGCAGACCTACACAAATATGGCCAATTAATTTCTGACAAAAGAGCAATGGCAATTCAATGGAGAAAGAACGTCCAAATACCAAAAATGAAAGTTGACACATCTTATACCTTAAACAAAAGTTAACTCAAAAGGGATCATAGACCTAAATGTAAAACATAAAACCCTAATACTTGATACAGAAGAAGTGGAACTCTCACACATTGCTGATGGGACTGTAAAATGGTTCAAGCACTTTGGAAAACAGTTTGGCAGCTTTTTATAAAGTTAAATATATGCTTACCTGACCTCCTAGCCAGCCCACTGCTAGACATTTACTCAAGTGAACTGAAAGTTCATATAACAACCTGTATGTGTTCATAATAAATTCATTCATAATCTTCCAAAAATGGAAACAACAAAGATGGGTCAGCAGATAAATAAGCCACAGTATATCCACACAATGGAACACTGGGGACAAAACCAAGTACAGATTCATGCAACACTATCAGTGAATCTTACGTGCATTTTGCTAAGTGAAAGAAGCCAGATCCAAAAGGCTGCATACTATATGATTCCATTTATATGAGAATCTGGAAAAGGCAAAGCCATAAGGATAGAAAACAGTTCAGTGGTTTCCAGGGGCTAGGGGAGGGGATAGAGGCTGATTACCAAGAGGCATCACAAGGGATTCTTTTTAGGGTGGTAAAACTGTCCCATAAGGCACTGTGGTGGTAGATACACGATACTATACATCTGTCAAAACCCATACAACTCTACAGCACAAAGAGTAAAGTTAACTATATGCACATTAAAAAATAAAAAACAGGATGTTGATGAATCCCAGAACTGAGTGAAGGTGGCAACAAATCTAACTGGACTACGAATGTGTGACATAACCTCATTGAAGAGAATGAGAAAAAAGGAGTAGACCTAAGTAACTGAAAACACTGCTTTCACTGGTACTTTAAGACTAAAACCAAAAAGAACTATACATAAATACTGTATTGTAATTGGTAAATTTGTTTCTCACAGGGGCACAAGTTAGCAATTCTGAAACTACTTTATATGTATACTAGAGTTAACAAATATGTAAACAAACTATATTTAATGGAAGGCCAAGTTTCAGTCAGAGAAATAAGTTAAATTAAGCCAAGAGGGGAAGGCTAAAATGAACCCTGTGGTTCCAGATTAGGGTCAGAGAAGTGAGGATGAACTCATTCATTTTAGTAACATGCAGACACAGATATACAGGTGTGTGCACAGTGGGTTGGTATACATATATGTATTTCCCAGCTCTGTCCTTTGAGAGGACCTAGGAGTATGAAGCCCTAGCAGCAAAGAGCACACCTAGTGCCCAGTTCTTGATGTCTAAATTGCATTTTCCAATAAAAGGAACTAAGGCTCATTGAAGAAAGGGCTGATTCCATAGCTAAGGCAGGGAAAACACGAGATGAGAAGTTGAGCCTGGAAAATCTTGTAGTGCCAGAAAGGAAGGACATGCTTTAAAAAAAGCAACATCAAGAAGACACAGAAACCAACTTGTCAGAGCTCCCCATGGCCAAAGCTGGAACACTGTGAACAAGATAATACATAGATAATATTAGATTATAGCCCAGAGAATGAAGTAAATATTGCTAAGTTCATAAACAAACAGGGAAGAAGGGACAAATTTTCCTTATAGAAGAATTCCAGTTAATAAATATAGGAGGGATGGGGGAAACAAAATCCTCATTAGAACATCACAGTAATGATTATTATAGGAAAGACTCACTGGTGAATACTATAATCAGTGGGTAAAACTTTAAAGAGAAATATACCAATTACTAGGTGCTTTTCACCAATGACCACAAATTTTTCGATACTCTCCTCTCCAGGAGTTGGAGTTTAATTCTCCTACCTTTGAATGGGCGCTGGATTTAGTGGCTCACTTCTATATAAAAAGAGAAAAATGGTGATTCTACAGTGGACACACCTGGACACACTTTAACCAAATGGTCTAAGTTAACATCACCAGTAATGAGTCATGCTGGCAGGTGCTCCATGATGGGATGTGATGAGAAGGGCATACCACACTTCTGTGGTATTCTTCCCCAAACCTATAACTTCAGTCTAATCACAGGAAAACATCAGGCAAACCGAAATTGAGGGATATTCTAAAACAAACGAGACCACTACTTTTCACAAGTGACAAAGCCATGAACGACAAGTAAAGAGAAACTCAGACTGGAGGGGACAGTGGAGACATGATGACTAAATGAACGTGGTGCCCTGAACTGGATTCTGGAAGACAAAGGGAATATAGGTAAGTGGAGTTAACTGAGGAACTCTGAATAAAATGTATGTACAATGTTAACTGTTAGACATAGTATACCATAGTATGGTCTTAGTTTTGATAAATGTAGCCTGGTTATGTAATATGTCAAAATTAGAGGAAGCTGGATAAAGAGTATCTGGAACTAGGTACTATTTTTACAACTGTTCTGTAACCTAAAATTATTTAAAAATAAGTTAAAAACTATGTATTAAAAAGGTATTTATCTTTGCACATATATATCAGGGAAAAAGATTATACTCTAGAATTTTAACACTTTGAGTGGTGCAATTAATGGTGATTAAATGTCTAGCTTATGTTTTGTATTGTGCTTATAATGAGCATATTTTACATGTGTAAGAAAAATAAATAAATCAAAATAGGATAATATACATGCTCTTTGGTAACCTGCTTTTTTCCACTGTGAATATCTTCTCATCTCAATAAAAATACATCTATCTTCATTTTTTTTTTCTTGGTGAGGAAGATTGGCTCTGAGCTAACATCTGTTGTCAATATTCCTTTTTGCCTGAGGAAGACTGTCACTGAGCTGACATCCCTGCCAATCTTCCTCTGTCTTTTGTATGTGAGATGCTGCCACAGCATCACTTGATGAGCAGTGTGTAGGTCCCTACCTGGGACCCAAACCCACGAACTCCAGGCAGCCGAAGTAGAGCTTGTGAACTTAACCACTATGCCACTGGGCCGGCTCCCATCTATCTTCATTCTTAATGGTTAGTTGTATACAGTTGAATGGATGTACCTTAATTTACATCATATACACCTTGTTTGGAATTTCTGAACTTTTTATTCATTTCTAATTCATTTTCTAGGACTCTGCCCATTCACATCCTTGACTCATCAGTCTTCTGACTTTATTCGTTAAGAAGTTTCTAGTTTGTTTGCTTTGCTACTTGATCTTTTTCTTGGCTAAACAAAGGTTTTATATTTTTATATGGTCAAACCTATTTAAACTTTTCCCTATTACTTCTGCCTTTAGGAAATCTATTAATATCCACCACCTGCAAATTTAAAATTGTAAGCCAAGGGTGGTAAGGTTGTATTGCTTTCCTAATTTTTCACTCTTCCTTGCCTGCAGGAAGAGCACACATTCCCACTCCACTGACATTGGGCCTGACCTTGCCTCTGCTTCAGCCAATGGTACAGGAGTGGACATGATATTCGCCACAATCAAGCAAATGCTTTAAAAAGCATCGCCCCAGTCCCTTTGCTACAAGAATGACATGCCTCAAACAGGTGCTCCTCCTTTGGCTGGGAACATGTAGAGGAGAGCCACAGCAGCTGACTTGTGACTGCCAAAGTAATGGAAGTGAGGAAGAAATTTGTTGTTTTAAGACACCGAGATTTCGTGATTTTTTTGTTACAGCAACAACACAAATTAATATAACAATCATCTACACTTTCTTTTAGAATGTTTACTACTTACCTTCATTTTTGAGTAAATGGCAATTTGGATGGTGCAGAATTTTGAGATCACAACTTCTTTTCATCAAAGTATAGTTTAAGATAGGCTGTGTTTGGGGTGGATAAAGGACATCCATCCTAGTGAATATGTTCAGGAGACTGGTTCTCTCATCTTCCACAGAAGGAGACACAGCGGTAGAGGCAACTAAACATGGGGATTCTGGGGGAATAGCCCAAGGCAACCACTGCTAGTGTGAATTCCTTTTAAATCCCTGATCTTACCTTAAAAAGGCTCATTTCTCTAAAATTTTTGAGCAAAATAAACATTCAAGGAAAGCATTCCATGTTTACCTCATGGTGTTGCGTATCTCCAACACACTGTCATGTGCTCTGGTTTGAGAGGCAGAGCAGGAAGGAGATGGTTGTACTGGAATCTGAGAAGTAGCATGTACACAGGATTTGGGCCAGATCAAGGCTCAAATCTCAGCTCTAGCAATTTCTTAAAAGGTATGACCTTTGGCAAGATATTTAACTTCTCTCTGAACCATATCTCCTCTATAAGGTAAAGATAAGCTTCTACCTCATTGTAGGTAGAACTAATAATATAAGCAAAGCAATTATTTAATGTCCAGCACATCCTGAGCCCTCAGTAAACAGTACCTCAGGGGAGGAAGTCAATGCCAGAATATACAGAATTAGGAGGGACCAGCTTAGAGGTGATGCCTGGAGCATATGGATGTGGATGGAGGTCCCAAGGGAGAATTATAAAGTAGGCAGAAACTAGGAGAGTAAGCCAAAGAAAAAGAGTTTAGGGGAACAAGCAGTCAGAAGTGTCAAATACTCCATTAAAGGTAAAAGGAAATGAAAAGAGAATACTAGATTTGCCAAGTGGGAGGGAATCTGTACCTTATAACATAAGAATGGCATGATGGTCCCAGAGGCCAGATTCTAGTAAATGGAAGTGGACAAAGGAGAAGCAGCAGTAATCTGGGAGTAAAGGGAAAAAGAAACTACAGCAGAGTCAATGGGAGTTTCCTTACAGTGAAACGAAATCCAAGCCCAGGTATTTTTTTAAAGTCAGGCAGCTTCCCTGAAGATCTCCGGCAACACTGGTTGTTAGGAGCTGAAGCTGTGTGCGCCCTGGCCCTCAACGTGGTGTGTGTGTGTTGGGGGAAACATACATCAAATGAATAGAGAAAAAAGAAAATTTGGTCTGCCAGTCAAATTAACTAGTTTTCATAAACGGGCACCTCTCTGGGCTGGCCTCTATGTGGAGCAGACAGAAGCCACAGTGCTGCCTCTCCACCCACTGCAAGCACACTGCCTCTCAGTCTTTTCCGTGGAGGGGGAAATGCTGCTGCTTCACAGAGCCAAACTACAGAGACACAATCTGAAGTTCTTCTGTTGTTTTTATAACCAAGAGAATTTCGTTTCTTTAGTAAGTGCTACTGCCTTAAATTTTACAACCTAGCTGTTACTTGAGACTTCTTAATCAGACTGTGTTCTAATTTAAAAAAGGGTTAAACGTTTCCCTACAAACATTTTAAAATTGAAAACATTTTAGTTCAATTTGTATTTTAAAACACACAAGTGCGAATGCAGTTTTTATGCTTCTGTTTATTATTATAACTTAAATACTTAAAGAAAATCACAGATTGATGGAAAACAAAAAAAATAAAAGTCAGCTCGTTTCCAACTCTTTTCCTAATAGACCAGAAAAAGCTCTGCCGTTTCTTATAGCTTAGATGTAATTTACTAACACTCTGTAAGAGCTAAGAATATTTTAGGAACGAAAGAGATTAATCTGAGTTGAAAAAAAGAAATCGCATAAAAACAAACTTCAACAGAGCACTACAGTTACGAAGTACTTTCAGAGGAATTGTCTTATTTGACTCATAGAGCAACCCTCTAGGTGGGTGGTGGGACCACGTTTTAGGGATGAGAAAACTGAGGTTTAGAAGGTTAATATGTTTTTCCAAATTCACAGGAAAAGGGGTACAGATCCAGGACTTGAATCTGGATCTCCTAAATTCCATCTCTAGGTTTCTTTTACTTTATCGTAGTGCTTGAAGAGTCCTGGGGTGAAGAACGGGAGTATTTTCACCAATTTCAAACTTTTTATATCTTTATATACCTTTATTTTCATTTTCTTCGGGCTGTCTTAAGTCATGTCCATATTAAAATCCTAAGCTAAATAAATAAAAATACTAAGGTAAATATAAGTAAATAAAGATGTTTTATCCTGTTTTTGATGACAAAACCATCTATAGCTATGAATTTATTTTGAGAATTACTCTGTCCACATTTCATAGATTTTTGATAGGTAGCATTTTCATTATTGAAGACTAACTATTTTAAGATGTTGTCAATAAGCAGGTTTTCTTAGAATTAATCTATTTTCAAAGAATATTTAGGTGTTAAATTGTTATTTTGTTGAGTAAAGATACTATTCATTAAAACATGGACTGGCCAGCATACATTTTATTACAAATAAATTTAATATAAATAAAACAACATTTAATTTTAATATACATACATTAAATTCTTGATCTTCCTGAACAATACTACTCAGGAAAAGCAACAATTTTTAAATAACCTAGCTAGTTGGTTAGAGCATAGTAAAAACATAGCACAGCTGTGCATTTAATCTCACGGAGAAAGTGCATGAAAGAAAACTACTCTATGATTAAAGATTGCTCCATAAGCCTGTAGCCATCTCATTAGCACAGCTTATTAAATAAAGAAGTTTTAGCAAGATCCATCAGTTCTACCAGAAAAAAACTCAATGCAAAAGATCCTTCTGTCAGCAGATGTGAAGGACCCACGTCTGGCAGAATCTGAAGGTGTCTGACCCACAGCAACCTAAGCAAACGCAGCATGTGTACCTGTTCTTCATCAGGCGAACCTCCCTCTTTCGCGCTGCCTCTTCTGCGGGCTGTGTAGGAAGTGCTGGGGAGGATGCCATCACGACTCCAGGGGCAATGGTGCTAGTGGGTGCTGTGCGAATCTGGTATGTCTGCACATCTCCAGAGGCAGCTGAAAAAAACAGTGGGCATGGTGTAAGACACTTAAGCAGTGTGTGACTTGGTAAAACCATATGTGTCCATCATCAATATAAACAGACATTTTGGATTAAAAGGGGAAAAAAGGAACAAATGATTCAGACTAAAATTTGAACGAATCAGCATTCTTTGGGTCATTATTGAGAAATAACTCCCAATTTAATGTATTTATTGGTATAGGCATTTGGGTAAAAGAGGTCTTAACCTATGTCTGCTGGGTCTTATATTTAGCGTTCATTCGAATGTAGTTCTATGCTGTTGTTAACATGCTTACCAACCTTAAGCCTAAAAGGTAATAGGGCACAGCTTGGATGATCTTCCTAGATAGAGTCCTCAATGTCTTCCTTTGATATTGGTAAGTTCATATTAAAAAATTTCAAGTAGACTCTTGCCACGACATAAAAACGACCATGATTTTTCACAAAATAGCAAAATGGAAGAGAAAATAAAGCATTATGGTCAACTATTATAAACTTCTAATTGAAACAAAACTGAAAGTATGAAAAACTGTACTACTTGATGCCAATTTTATTATTTGTAAACATTATTTTAATGTAAATGATAATGGCTAAATAAACTGAAGGTTTGTTTTTCTAACTAAATGATCCATCATTTGTGAAAAGAAACAATCACTATTTGTCAAACTGCTTTTAAAAACAGCTTAATAATATGCCCTCCTAAGAATAAAGAACCTAACATTATCTGAAAGAATTTGAAGGTCTTTATAAAATTATCCACATTTGTTATTAATATCAGTTAAAATGTGTAGTTTGAGTGGAAAAGATTTATATACTAAACATGTTACCATCTTCAAACTGACGTTCAGAATTCAAATGCACTGACATCCTGCTTTACAATTTGTGAGCACCTGCGTGTAAAGTGAAAAGGTGTTTTACTCCCATTAATAAGCAAAATACTATCTTCTTCAAATATTATTTGTTTAGTAACGGAATATATTCTGTAAATACATTAGGCCCTTTAAATAAATTATGACTCTCTCTAGCTGGTGTTTTAGGATTATTCAAAAATTATCACCTACGGGGAAGGGGCACAACTGTCATCATCTAGCAGAGGCAAACATAGTATTATCAATGAAAATATTTTTTGAAACAGACTACTTCCTCAATATGTAAATTTTCAATCTGACATAAATCATATTCTTAAAATGCTCAAATAGATTCAAAGAAAAATGGTCAACTCCCATCCATAAAGATTTCTGAAACAAATAGGAAGAAAACAAAAAAATTAAATTAAAAAAATAAAACAGAAAAAAGCTATTTCTATAATTCCTTAAGGATTTAACTACTACTTTTCCTCCAAAGACTAGTAAACTTGCATACTGATAGAAGATTTTTCAGAATAGAATTCTTTTATTTGAAATAAAAAATGATGATCTTAGAAATGAGCATGCAAATTTCTTTTGAATAAAAAGCAGAGAAACAGAATTTTGAACCTCCAAAGATTCTTATTAGTGATTTAGTACAACTCTCATTTGACAGATGAAAAAAAATGAGGTCTAGAGAAGCTGAGTCTTACTCAAGGTCACATAGCGAATCTATGCATTTACATCTAGAATCTAGCTTTCACAACCTCCAGATTTCATTGTATTTCCCTCCAACCTACTGTTTCTCCTATCCCCAAGTGCTAAAGGTGTTAAAAACAGATGTTATATTTTTAAAACTAAAAACAGTTGTTTTTATGCCATGACATTTTGGTCCAATTGAAATAATGGAAGAGTTCATGGAAAATACTACCTATGATAAAAGAAAAATAAACTACATTTTAACAATGCTTTGCAGTATCATACTTACTTTTTCTGAGTTTATAAAACTTTAAGCTTTCAAAGAACTGACCACACCTGTGGATTCTCAGTTCTCTTACCTTGAACAACAACTTGGTTGCTGGGCACTAAGATCTGCTGTCCATCAGTGGTCTGTGCGTACTGTAGAATGGTAGTGGCCGGCTGTGTGGCAGCTGCATTGGTCATGGTTAACGTTTGCAGGCCCTGCACCCCATCCGTACCATTGTTAGCCAGTTGTATTGCTCCTCCCTGTGTAATGGCAACTAAAACCCAATGGATTTTACTGTTACAAGTTTAATAAATACAAGACTTTTATAACACACTAAATTCAAAGTAGAATAATTTGCAAGACACAATCTAGGAGAAATTATTATTGCAAATAACACTGCCAAGAAGGCTTTGGTATACTCAAGTGACTTTCTGCTCAGGAAACCCACATGCAATTTCTATAATACAAATGCATTCTATGAATCACATGATAATTTATAATAATGTCTAACAATTTTAAAAACTAGATAAATGAGAAAATGTTAAATTCCTTTTGAAGTTATTTGGGTTCAAGGAGGTACCATTTTGTGATCCATACTTCCTTCATTCTAACATTAACTACATATTTTAATTGTTTAATATTTGCTGCCCCATTAGTATATAAATTTCTTGAGGGTAGGAAATGTGATTTTTCTTCTCTACTTTCATGTACTTAGCAGAGAAATGGGCATGTAACAGGCACCCAATAAATGGTTGTTTTAATGCATAATTAATAAAGCAGTTCAGTAGTGCATTCTGTCTGGTAACTCAGCAGCAACGCATAAACTATAACAAAAGTCCACTCAATGAAAGAACTGAAATGTCCTATGAAACAATTATTACAGTCTCTCAGAGTTTAAAATTAGAGCTCAAGATCATCAATTAGAAAAAAATATTTTACTGCTATTTCTAAATTACATATTCAAGCATTCTCAAATAGGATCTTTTGTTCATTATTCACTAATAAACCACACTTGTCGTTTATCTGTTACAAAGTAATCAACTCTGGCTCACACTAATAGATATTTCACTTTATAAAAAAACTGAATTCACCTTTATGCTGCAGCATAGTGTTAATAAAAAGAAATAACTATTTTATTTAGAAGAAGCAATCCTTTAGATACCAGCACTGAGATGTGTGGTTGGATCCTTCTCTAGACACTTGCCCTGTCAGAGTTCAAGTTTTCCAGAAAAAGAAGGATTAAAAATCACAATATTACATATAAAACTGCAGAATGGATTTTAACTGAATAAGTCAACAAGTCTGACTTAAGCATTTTACTTTTTGTGTTAGAAGGGAACTAGTTTGGGATCAACTGTCAGCCAGCTCTGGGTAACTAATATCCTGAGTCATCTGTATATGGAAAACTGATTATCTACTGTTCAATGAAGAAACAGTAACAGTTAATGGCTATGATTTAGCAAATAGTATCTGTGGAAATTAAGATACTGGCATACACAATCCATCCACTTTAGCCAATCCCATAAATTTTACTTATCTTAGACAAGGACAAACAAAGGAATATATAAGAACTATTCTGTGATTAATATTGCAGGATAACTTGAAAGAATCAGAAGGTTAACAGACTCAAACCACAATTTCTCATGTAGAGTTAATAAGCAACTTCTGCTGTATTTCACACACACAGCAACTAGACTTCAGGAGATCTGGGTTCTAGTCCAAGTCCCATCACTAAACTGTTATTGGAATGTGTTACTACTTCTGTAAAAATAAAAATACGTGGTTCTAGCCACTAAGTACAATTGTTGTAAAAATCAAATAAGATCATGTATATGAGAGTACTCTGAAAACTGAATTCTGATGGTTTTTCTCTATCATATTTATTTATACAATTGATTATTCTGAAAGGATTTGAGATGGCTTTCAATAAAACTCAATCATTAAGGAAAAGATAGAAGTCAAGTAACTGTTTTGTCTCTAGGTGAATATAATGATTCTACCAGAAAATCTAGAAGGAAAGAATACATTTAAACATAAACTTAGCTGAGATTCTGAGTAGCCAAAATAAAGAGGAAAACATCATCTTTTATTTAGTGAAACAAAAATTCAAGGTGAAAATGTAAGACACGTTTTTCTGCCTAAGAACAGACTCTCTCAAACAAGACTTTTATTATCAGGGACAGTGAACCAAGTAATGGGTAAAACTAGCAATAGCAGTAATAAAAAAATAACCAGTTTATGGAAGGAATACAAACTGGGGCAGCCACTAGGAAGGGTAATTGGGAAAGATATGCTTGGATTTGGATGCTCTCCTACAAGACACTACTACATATATGAGAATGTTCACGTAGCATCTTTTGAAACAGAAGAAATGTCCAAAATATTCATCAGTGTGTGTGTGTGGGAAATTTTAAAATAAATATTATATTTATACAGTGAAACATAATGTAGCTGTCAAAGAAACAATATACGTAACTATATATGTATATATTTGTCTATGGTATATAAATAATATGGATCTCACTTGTATAAAAATATATAACGTGTATGCATAAATAAAATAAAAAAGAGTGGAAAGATGTATACCAAACTCTTACTACTGGGGAGGGATGAAAAGGATTTTTACTTTTTATTGACACTATATACCTCTACCATTTGAATTTTCACAACCATATATTTGTTTTATAAGTTAAATATATAAATGTTGCTGTATATGTAAGTACTCATATTGATTCTTAATGACAATCAGGAACATAATGCCAAATCAGTTCCATCAGAGCCACATGTGTATATAAAGAAAATAAGGGATAAAGATAATGAAGAAAGCTTGAAAAATCTCAAAGGATTAACCTTTTACTTTATTTATTTATTTTTATTGAGGAAAAGATTCGCCCTGAGCTAACATCCATGCCAATCTTCCTCTATTTTTAGTATGTGGGCTGCCAGCACAGCATGGTTGCTACCAGAGTGGTGTAGGTCCACACCCGGGAAACAAACCTGGGCTGCCGAAGCAGAGCACACTCAGCTTAACCTCTAGGCCACCAGGGCTGGCCCAGTATTAACCTTTTAAAACTAGGAATTTTCAGTTGCTGGAGGAGAGCAGTGTGCCAGATTACACATCTACTTTTCTAAACTGCGTTTCCCTATTTGAGATTCTGATATGCCTCTTTCCTAAAGAGCATACTCTTTCCTTCAAGTGAGACTCACTGCAGTGGGTGAATCGATGTTACTAACAGGAGTAGGCTGTGTTACTCAGGTGTACTGAAGCAGGGGAAAAATAAAGGTCATGTATCAATGTCTTACAACACACGACGTGAATAACTCAAATTATGTGGAAATCAGGCTAAAAAACACAGACCTATACATACATAGACAGTACTTGCATATCTCTGAAACGAAGAACTTCACAAGGAAAAAGATGATTGAACTCTAGGAAGCTTAAAGAGTAGAGAAGAAGCTCAGTACATAAAATGAAGGCATTTTTGACTATCAAAAGTTTCAGCTTTGGGAGAGCTAAAAAAGTCTGCTACTCAGGCATTTGTTTTAATACAGTTGGAATGCAAATTAGCATTATGCAAACCAAGTCTGAGCTGTAAGTGGAAAACTATGAACTTGAGAGTCAAACTTTTATACACATTTCTGACACAGACTACCCCAGGACATTAGAAAACTAACGCAGCAAAGGAGTTTCAATGAGCACATTTCTATATAATGGGCGAGACTTAATGAACAAATTAAAATGAAGAGATCAATGTGTGAGGGAGGCTGGAAACAAAAGGTATTGGGAAAAGAGAAAAAAGTACCATTCACACACATGCTTTTGATCAAACCAAACCAGAACTCAAAAGTACTTTGTAACAGATTTAAGTAAAAGAGAAGAAAAGAGACCTAAGTATTAGAAAGAGACAGCACAGAAATGAAAACTTTGATAATTTTGCAAAAGAAATCTTTTCTTTCTGTGAACCAAAAAGCAGTGTGTCCTTTTAATTTCAGCAGTCTTTATGTTTACATGATAATTCACTACACTACCTTTTACATTAAAAGGAATAACCGAATGTGCTATAGACTGCAACCAAGCCTCTGCACTCCCATCACAAAACATTAAATTTGACTTTAAAATGCTTTTAGAAAGGAAGATGAATTATTAAAATAAATGAATAAGGAGACCATTTTTGGCCTTAAACATAATCAAAGAATGATTATTTTCTTTATCTGAGAAAACTCATGTTCTCTATTAACATCATATATCATAAGAGAATTGAAATCTAGTGTTTCAAGTAGTGGTTCAAAAAAGTTATTAGACTCTCCATCCATCTGCACAAAACCAAGGGCCATCTAAAGGGCTTACATACTTGAGCAATCCTAACTAAAACCCCGAAGAAAAAAAAGCATTTCTGTTACAGAACTTTACATATTGAACAGTAAAGGAAATACAAGAAAGGCAGATGACAGTGAGAAAAGAGCTGGCACTTATATGATTCCTTTAAGGAGAATGCAGCCATTAGTTTTTCATCTCACTTTCTAAACCAGAAACATCTATTACTCACTATACTGTCCACTGCTCGTTTGGTAAATTGGAGTTGGCACCGTTACAGTGGTGATGGCAGGTGCTGAAGTCTCCTCTTCAGACTTCTCTTCTTCAATCCTTGGCACTCCTGGTGCATCAGAAGATAAGTCATTCAAAATTTTCCTAGTAAAATAGAGAACTATATTAATTAAAATAAAAATAACATTAACTGGCTAAATACAAATAAATAGGAAAAGATCAGAAAACTGGCAGAAAGCTACAAGTGCTTTTAAAGTTTAAAACGTAAGAATTTACAGAAGAAACTAAAAATGGATCAGAGTTCTACATGTCAAAATGAAACCATTCAAGGACTAGAAAAAATGAATTTTTCATGAACAGATGAATTTCTCCTTGGCCTGAATGTAAAGAAAGACTATGATTTAAAATCTAGGGGCAAGTAGAGATTAATAAAATTTCCTACAGAAAAGACATCTTGTTGCATGGCAAAGAGCACCAAAAATAAAGTCAAAAGACGATCAACAAAACTAGGAGAAAATGTCTACATGTTATTACAGATAAAGAGCCAACATCCCCAATATAGCAAGAACTCTTAAAAATTGAGGGGGAAAAAACCCCCAAAAACCTGACTTTTAAAACTTCTCAACTCTCAGATTGGTAAAACTAAAAAAAGCATAACAATATATTCTGTTAACAAAGTTGTGAGAAAACAGACACTCTCGCACACTGCTGCTGGCACCATCCTCAGAAGGAAACTGGTGACATCTAACAAAACTCTATCTATCTACACAGCAGTCTTACTTTTCGGAATTTACCCTGAAGACAGACTTCCAACAGGATGAAAATACAGATGCATGAAGTTATTCACGGTAGCACTGTGTGGAACAGCAAAACACTGGAAGCAATCTCCATGCCCACACTCCGGAGAATGAGCCATGGTTCATCCAATAATGGATATAGCATGGCACTTTTTGTATAGGAAAGAAAATGAAATGATATACATGTACCTGCTCATCTGTTCAAGAAAAAAATCAGAAAGGATAAACCAAACAGAGTTTAACGAGATTAGATAGCTACTGGGGATGGGTGGGAAAGAAGAAAGAAAGGACTTGAGGGAGCGAAGGGGAGCACTTCTAAGAGAGTGTGTGTGTGTGTGTGTGTGTGTGTGTGTGTGTGTGTGTGTGTGTGTGTGTGTGTGTATATTTGTACAATTCTGACTTTTGGAACCACATGTCTCATATATTTTTGATTATGTTAATGTCTTGATTACGTTAATGTCTCATATATTTAAAAAAAGGAAATAATATCAACAAGGATGAGGGGGAAAATTCTAAAATGGACCACGAACAAAAACAAATGAACCTTAACATATTTCAAATGTGTAAGAATCACAGAAGAGGGGAAAAAAATCCTAACCCAAGTAATTTTTGACATCTTAAATTTCTAACAAACCAGTCTGAATTAATATTAACTTAGATTCAACAGTCTCCCAAAACTCTGCCCATAATTTATGTTGTTATTGTCAAATTACATGTTCATACATCATGTGCTCATTAACAGATTTACAATGACTGTTTTATGCATTTATCTTTCAAATCACATAGGAAAAAAAAGAGTTAGAAAGCAAAACTATAGTAACACTGACTTTTCTATTTACCTTTATATATGACCTTATAATTACCTTCACTGGCATTGCAGAAAATATTCTACATTATCTTTCAATACTCCTTTCTCCCAATCTACCCTCTGGAAATTCTAGAAACGCATCCATGGAGCACTTCCCTCTATTCTCCATGACTTTCACCTCAAACATTTCTACCATTTTTTGCTCTCCATTCCCAGTTACTTTCTTGGTTCCCTTCCAGTTTATTGATTCCCTCATCAGCTACTTGTATCTAGTTTATCCCACTTACTGTTTCTTTTTTTTAATTCCCTTGTCTCTCTCATTTCCAAGCTTACTCATTTTTTTTTTATCTGCCTGTTGTCATTTAGTAAACTGCTATTCTGACTGTAAGGATGATTTTCTCTCCTTTATGGCTTTGCAAATGAGAAACAACTATTTCAAACAGCTTGTGGACTGACAGTGGTCAGCAGATCATTCTGGAGTCACTGATCTGGAGTACTGTTTCTCAAACTTCAGCATACAAAAGAAGCACTTGGAGAGCATGTTAAAACACAGATTCCCAGGTCCCCTTCCCAGAGATTCCATCATTAGGTCTAAGATAGGCTCCCGGAAATTTGCATTTGTAATGAGACGCTGATTTACCCAACTTGTCTGTGGACCACATTGTGAGTAGTATTGGTCTCTACAGCAATGTTTTTCAAACTGAGGTCAAAATCCATATGTGGGCCACGAAAACAATTAAGTATGTTGCAACTAACATAAAAAAAAAAAACCAAAAAATAGCTGAAGATCACACATAAGGGTAAATATTGCTTGGTGTAACTTTTGCTTCAGATCACCATATATGAGTGTACGTGTGATTGCATAACACAGAACTGTAAGATATACTTCGTATTATGGACTGTGTAAAAAAAAAAAGTTTAAAAGCTATTGCTCTAGACCTACAAATAAATCTACTTCTCTTTTGCATGAAGCCAGTGATCCTTCTTAGTCTTCTCTTTCCAGTTTCTCAAATTGTTGCTCTGGGCCATCTGGGGCATTCTCCTCTTGGAGACAGTTCACTTTCTTTTAAGGTATATTCCCAATGTGGTCTGAGAAGTGAAGCTGATTCTCTCCCCTAATCTAGACACATGGTTTTTACCAATGTAGCCTTACAGTGTATTGGCTTTTTGGCAATCATATCTCACTAATGATAATTAAAGAACATAATTATCTTTTTCAGATGAATTCTTAATCCAGAAGCCTGTACTTCAATAAGTGGTTTTATTTTAAACTCAAGCTCAGAAGTTTTACACTTATCACCAGCACTTCCTCCTCCTGTTCCAGTCTATTTCCCTTGGCAGCTAGGATCTTTCAGAGTACTATCTTCCCACCCATCAGGGTCCTTATCTTGTAAGGTTCTGTCATTTGCAATTTGACAAGCAAGGCTTCTATGTTTTTCAGCAAATTTCTAGTAAAAATACCAAGCCAGATGAGACTAAGTGAGAGCCCTTCAAGGACTCCCTCTGGGTATAAATCACTATAAAGCTGGGTTGTTCCATCAAAAACCCATCTCACATTATCAATCAATCCCCATTTCTCCAACCTCACAACCGTATCATAAGGACTTTGTTAAAGATCTTGTTATAATGTAGACATAGAGGCTAGCTTTCAAGAATTCATAAACTTAAAAACAAAAGGGGCACAGCTCACTGTGGAGGTTTGACTGTATGGGAAGATACATTACCTTTCATGAAAGTAGCCTTTTTTCTACATATGTGTGGTCTCAAGGTGTTCCTACTTAAATGATCTTTGCTGGGATACAGGCTATAACCAATTAAGGCGAACGAAAGATCTTTTTCAACATAAACCTCCTATTGCATAAAGTTTACAGAATTGCCTGGAATTTACATAGAGAGAAAGCCATGTGGCTTGTTTCTTAATGCCTGGTAGGATTTGCTTCAGGACTAAATGGGTTATATACTAACATGAGATACATTTCAAAGTTAAACTCTAAAACTAACTATTTTTAAAAAAGGAATTATGAGTATAAATACATAAAACACATACTTGGTAACATAACATTTCTTAAGACCTCAACATCAATTTAATTTAACTGGATCCTTAATTTAACTGTGAGGATAAAGAAAAGGGGTAGTTAGTAGCTAAGTGAGTGGAAACAAAAAATTAACCATCCCTTTGAAAAGCAGAAAGATACATAAATAGAAATAATTTAGGTTAATTATAAGGAAGAATATTATACGTCTAAAGTTTATTAAACTCTGAAGTAAGCTTATGAAGATTTGTGGAACTGCTCTTCCTGGAGATATTCAATATGGAGCCAATTTCTACACATTAAAAAAAACCAGTTTTGATCCACCTTGCAGGCAAGGCATGGACTAGTCAATTTCTATAGCTGAACATAAAATGGACAGTAAGTGTCCCCGAAGTTAGGGGATATAAGCAAAGCATCACCCTGAAGCAACTATTAAATTAACAGTTACTTGCTAAGTACCACGGCTTAAGAAACAGTCTGTAAATGTGTTGCTAAGTAAACAGTATAATCTCAGAATTGACGCATAACTAGAAAATGCTATAATTTTATCAAATGCATTCCAAACTTTTTAACAGAAAAGTAGCAGCCAACATAGTATACAAAAAGCAGGAAAAAAAGAATCAGTATTTATCCAGGACTATTCTGAGTAAGAAGTGCTCTTATTCTGTATGATAAGCTTCAACTTAACTTGAGAGAAGTAACTTAAGATGAAGAGAAGTAAGCTATATGCTATTGCAGCTCACTGGTCTTCTGACCTCTCTTCATCTGCAACTACCCAAGGCTTCCTGTATATCTTTAATGCTTAATTCTTTGAACTATTACATTCCATACCTGTAGGAAGGCCTCCTTGAAAGAATTTCTCTTCGTTTTTGGGAATCAGTTACACTATCCACTGACTCCTGTGAATCTTCACTTTCTGCAATAGTTGAAATCTGAAAATAAAGAAGAACTTTATCTTGATAATCAAATTTAGTTCCCATAAAATTTTTATAAATTTTAAGAAAATGTCAAATACAAAAGAACATATATAGACCATATACATGCTTCAGTAGAAAAAAAAATTAGTTTTTATGGGGGATGACCACACTATCACTTTGCTCTCCCCTTTACTTATCCTACAGAAGTCAGAGGACCTAAAAATTTTTTGTCATATCCAAATTCAGCTTATTTCTTTCAGGATTTCAATGGAATCAATCCTGAATGCATCAATATTACTTGTCAGTTGTTTTCTTACAGTTGTGAGAACAAAACTACCAAGTAAAATAAAGTTTCTGACACGAAGGAAAGAATAAATGACTAAATATTTGGTCATGTAAGTCTATACAGTGACTATATAAATATTTTACTGTAAGTGCTGTGTAAATTACTTGTGAATATATTTACAATAGTACAAATAAGATCAGTGACCCCCACCATGTTCGAGATGACTGTTTCTAGCAAGTCAGAAAGAAGCCCTCCGTTACATATGGACTTGTTTCAGAGTTGGCATTCTATATTTTTTATTAAGCAAAAAATCAATGTAAAGAACTGTGCATTTCTGGAAAGTATCCGCGGACAGAAAAGCAATGATGTTAAGTTGAGTGAAGATTTTACATGGGATGATGATAGCAGCAACTAGTGTTTACTGAGGACTTACTAAGTGCCAGGTGCCATGCTAAAGTGCATACATAAATGACATTATTGTATACTAATAGGGTAACAAAGGTCCTAGATAAGTACGATTATTATATCCATTTTATAGATGCAAGAATTAAGGCACAAAGAGGTTAAGTAACTCACCCAAGTCACAAAGCTAGGAAGTAGTGGCCACTGTCAATACTTGGCATCTCAGTTTTAGACATCCTTACCAGCATCAAAATCCTGTTGGTTCCAATCTCAAACCAGTTTTGTCAGAAGCAGCAACCCAGAGGCATTTTTAGACCACTTTTAGACTAGAAGTTTCCTCACCAAGGCAAGCTTGTCATCAAATTTACACTGCCCAGTCTCTCTAGTTTGATGGGCGGGAGCCTCTGGCTCTTCCTGAGCTGGGTGCACATGATGCCATCAGAGGGGAGGTGGACTTAACCAAAGCAAGTGGGTCTGTGTGGGTCAGCTGCACCTCAAAGTCATGGCAGGGGCAGTAAGAAAACACATATTCAGAGGCACCTGTGGAGGTGCCTGAGCCTAAGCGTCCTGCAGAGCAGGGACGCGCTGACAGGGCTTTGAGAGACTCACACTTTACAACGAAATTAGGTAAATCGAGTAACGCTTCATAAAATGTATCTGCGATAAGTAATGTGCCCTATCCAAATACTTTAAAGCTTAAGAAGTATAGTCTTAAAGACCTAAAAATTAACAGGCACATTTAAGGAATCCAGAAATGACAGATACAGAGACGGGCAAGGCTGAATTTAGTCTGTGATTCTTTGCAGATTCACAACGCTGTAGTTACCGCCAGCAGAGAACAGAGAACCGTTTCCCACTGATCCGCAGCTGCTGTAACTAGCCCACTCAGCACAGTCTCTGCACAGACTTCCTACTAGATGTGGAGCAGAGCAGAACTGAGAAAAGGCCTTGGCAGAGGGGTCAGGATTTCAAGGAATAACAAGAAGAACAAACTCCAAGTGGATGGTACTGGGACAAGTGTTTACTAACCTTCATTAATACTTCTCAGAACCCTAGTTCCTCTATTGTTCTTTCTGCCTTCTTTGCTTGACCTTCAACCTTAAAACCTTTTAAGGACATAAAGTGACTTAGGTGCACTCTCCCAAGTTGAAAGTCATTGAAACAACAGCTTTAAAACATGCTACACAAACCACCTATAGGAAGTTTCAAAGTGAAATAAATTATGTTGCCTTTTTATAATATGGCCTTTGATACATTTTTTTTTTTCAAACTCAGTAGAGCTACTGCTCCTAAAGGAAAAAAAGTCCCCCTTCCTCTGATCTAAAAGATACTCTCAATTCAGACAGAAGGAATTAACTTATCCCTACGTAGTGATTCCAACTTTTTAAATGTAAAGGGAATTAAGAACTATTCAAAAACCACACAACGAATGTAACATTTCCTCTTTGGGAATATATCCACTGAGAACTCAGAATTATGAAGCTAATTCCTACGGACTACCAAAAAACAAAAACCAAAACCACAGTGGGCTCATATTTCTGAGACTAATAAAAATCATGTCAAAAATCCTTTTTATAAATAACGATTATTATACTCTAATACATATTCAACAAGTTAATAAAAATAACAACATGAAAAATTCTATCTTGCACGTAAGCAGCACAGAACACCATCACATTCTAATGACGGAGTCTCTTCCTTTGGTCCTCACCTCCTGTCATCTCTCTTCTTAACCCCTTCCTGAACTCCTTAAACAGCTCTTCCACTGTGGCCAATTATAAGACAAAAAATTTTCAAAAAGTCAAAGCACCATTTGCAGATATAAGGTTTTAGATCTGTATTTCTCAGCTTCCCTTTAGTTTGTTAAAAACCCATACCTTCTGTTTATAAGGGGAAAAAAAACCCTTCTATTTTGGTGTTATTTGAAGTTTCAAAATAATATACACAGTGACTAGAACCAAATCAAAGCAATAGAAATATTAGCTGTTTTTTCAAACTATACACAGTTCCCTGGAAACTTAAGTACTTGCCCTGTGTAGAGTTCAGACTCATGGTTTAGGTACAGTTTTTTAATCACTGGATCAAGAAGCTTAACAAAAGTCTAGAGCAATCATCTTCAAACTCTTTTGATCTGCAGATCTCCCTTATAAATAAGAAAATTTTACATAAACATACATACTTCCTGTTTGTAAACTTTAAGTGTTACTGTGAAACAAAGTAATAAAGAGGATAAGTATAAATATTAAAATATATTTGTAAACTTCTTTTTTTTTAAAGATCAGCACCTGAGCTAACATGTGTTGCCAGTCTTCTTTATCTGTTTTCTTCTTCTCCCCAAAGCCCCCCAGTATGTAGTTGTATATTCTAGTTGTAGGTGCCTCTGGTTGTGCTATGTGGGATGCCACCTCAGCATGGCCTGATGAGCGGTGCCATGTCCGTGCCCAGGATCCAAACCAGTGAAACCCTGGGCCGCTGAAGCGGAGCACACAAACTTAACCACTCAGCCAGGAGGCTGGCCCCCTATAAACTTCTTAAAATCATTTAATTTTTCATAATAATGAGAATGATGTGATTTAATAAGCTTCATTAAGAAATTATTTAATATTTTATGACACATTCAAAAATCTGATTCCAAGCTTGGGCTTTTTGGAATGTCATTTAACATCTGCTATTGTTGAAAAAGAGAACTCATGATATGTAAGTACACTGTAAATGTAAGTACATTTTTGGGTGGCTTACTAAACAAAACAATCACTTTTAATTTTTATCTCCCAATTATAAAATTTTTGATGAGATTTATCTAGTATATCTTCATCTCCCTGGCTCTCAGTTACTATGCTAATACAAAGCGTTACATTTTTAACAAGTAAGTTCAACACCTACTGAAACTCTGGAAGCCTTCTTAATATTAGAAAATTCTATTTCCAGGGTTTTAAAAGTATATAGATTTGCGTTTTTAGGTGACAAATTTGCACTGTCTGCAGTCAAACAAAAAGTATGGAAACATTTCCAAACTTGTTTTCAAAATGCTATCTCCACAGCACAGGCTTCTTTCAAAATGCAGTTACCCTCTCATGCATTGTTAAAATGACATTTTCTCCCAGAAAGGATGTCAAAATGGAGTTATTTTTAAAAAAATATCTGTTAGTAATACATCCCTTACAAGATTTTGCTTGCCATCACTGAAAAGATTAGAAACTTTGGAGTACCTGTCTTATGTGAAAACAAACAAGCAGCGCATCCTTCTGTGAAACAACTCTGAAATAAGCTGCTGTAAGATAACCACTGAATTGTGTTGCACAAACGATTTTTATTGTTGTTCCCATCACATCACAAAGTACTGTGAGAATTCTATCAAAGATTTCACCTCAGCCCCTCTCCCCTTGCTCATTCTATGCAAGCCCCATCTTCTTGCTACTCCTGAGAGGGAAGCATCTCTCACTTTTGAGATTTGCATCTGCTTTTATCATCTGTATGGCTCACCTCCTTCCTTGCCTTCTGGTTCCTAACCACCCTACAAAAAACAGAGCACCATCCCCCCACATCATTCTCTATCTCTTTCCCCAGTTTTAGTCATCTTCCCAGCACTTATCCTCACCTGACATATTTTATTTTTTCATTGTCTCTTCACTCAAATGTGATCTTCATGAGAATAGGCAAGTATGATTTATTTGCTGCTGTCTTTCATAACACCTAGAACAGTGACTGGCACATAGCATGCGATCAATAAAAATTCACCGAAGGAATGAATGCAATAATGTAAGGTAACATAATCCATAAATCGTCTGACACACTTAAACTGTACTATGTTAAAAAAGTGTCCAAAACTAGCAAACGACAAGTGAAGATGGCATTGTTAATGTCTATACATTTGTGTAACTCCCACTGCTTTTGTGGAGATTCTTACATAATATGTGAGATTTGACTTATATACCTAAGAATAAAGTTAGGGCACCAACGTCAAGCCATATACAAAATATCAGTACAACTTAGTTTCTAATAGTCTTAGATTAAAAAATATAAACAGAAGTCCTAATATCTTACTCTCACACGAAGAGAAATGTACTTTGTCTATTTTGGAAACGCTATTCTGGAATACTAATATTCTCTCATCTAGAAGTTTGAGGGACCATTTCTCTCCTTCTTTGATTACTTCTTTTGCTGTAAACTACTTACCAGTTATTAATACTAACTACTGTTAACCAGGTGAAATGACCATTAAAGTCTAATACATTCTCCATGGTTTAGGCCTTTTAAAGAAAAAAAATACTGTATTTGTGTCTCTATTTTTAGAATTCAGGCTGTCAATTATAAGCATAGCTCACCGCAACAAAAAAAATGTGTTCTTGAAAAGACAAATACCTATTTCTACAAAGTTAATGGCTATATAACCCCCAGGTCCAAATTATAATTATTACTGCCACAAAGTAAAGATTAAAATTAAGAATACAATCAGGGGCCGGCCCCAGGGCTGAGTGGTTAAGGTCGTGGGCTCTGCGTCGGAGGCCCAGGGTTTCGCTGGTTCAGATCCTGGGCGCGGACATGGCACCGCTCATCAGGCCATGCTGAGGTGGCGTCCCACATGGCACAGCCAGAGGTACTAACAACTAGAATATACAACTATGTACTGGGGGCTTTGGGGAGAAAAAGAGGAAAGGAAAAAAAAAGAAGACTGGCAACAATTGTTAGCTCAGGTGCCAATCTTTAAAAAAAAAAGAATACAATCAATAATTAAATATCACATATTACAACCAAAAATTGTAATCTTAACAAATTTTGTGGCTATAACTTTGGTAACTTTTGTTGTGTTCTTTATAGAAAGGCCACCTAATATAAGTGAAAAAGAAGTGAAGGTTAAGGTGAGGTCTAGGAATCCAGGGCTCCTGGCAGGTCAGGTTCTCCCTGCTCTTATCAAGAGGAAGACGTGAGTGGGGGAAGTCATAACAGCAAGTGTGGAGAATAGCAGGGTAGCATTCAACGAAACAAAAACTGAGGCAAATGATAGGAGACTTTTCTTTTTTCGAGGAAGATTAGCCCTGAGCTAACTACTGCCAATCCTCCTCTTTTTGCTGAGGAAGACTGGCCCTGAGCTAACATCCGTGCCCATCTTCCTCTACTTTATATGTGGGACGCCTACAACACCATGGCTTTGCCAAGCAGTGCCACGTCCGCACCCGGGATCCAAACTGGCAAACCCCGGGCCACCAAAGCAGAACGTGTGCACTTAACTGCTGTGCCACCGGACCAGCCCCTTGATAGGAGACTTTTGCTCAGTGTGATTCCATAGAAATATCAAATTCTTTTGGTCTTTACCTGGACAACACTGTCTCCTACTTGGCAACAAATTCCATTCCCAGTATCTTTCAGTATGTAAATTCATACAACTTGATGATTTCACATGAAAACATTCTCCCCCCACACATAACTGTCCAAGCAAACTAAAAGCACAAGGACAGAATGAAGCAGAGGTGGGTAAGAGGTTCAATGACTCAAGAGTGTAATGTGGCTGACAAAATCTAATACATATATCCTTTGATGACGTTAACAGAATGCTTCCGGGACAAATAAGGTACTTCTTCCCAGTACAAACATCGATCAGTCTGGCTACCACACTCAAGGAAACACAACAGCTCTCACCCACAAGAAGACAACAAGGATGGTGAAGAGGAATCAAAGCCACACCACATAATAAGTGGCTGACAAAAAGAGGTGTTTGTTTAGTCTGAACATTTTTTTTTTAATGGGAAGGGTGCAGGAGATGGGGAAGAGGAAGAAAGGGAGTTAAACTTGCTTAACCAGTTTCAGAGGACAGAACTGGGACCACTATCTAAGTTTTAGAAAGGTCTATTCTGGTCCACCACAGGGAAGAATATTTTAGCAATTACACCTAATTATAGATTGGTTACCTCAGGAGATAGAGCTTCCTTTGAAAGTGTTCCAGTAATGCTGGACTACCACCATTTGGAGGAAGGGAGAAAGACAATACAGGGAAATGTGGCAATAGTCTAAGGGCTAGGGAGGTAACAAGTGTGGCCTAGACGTAGAAGATCTCTAAGATTTTTATTCGTATCTTGAATTTTGTGTTTACAGAGAAGGTCAAAGACATACAGAATAATTTCTCACCTTCCTTTCTAAAAATAGTTCTCTCCAAATCTAGGACCTAGGACTCACCTGAGTTCCGGAGAAAAGTCTTTTTAAGTCCTTACAGGAAGACTGTGAAGCAAAAAATATGAAATGGGAGGCTGGGGTTATGGCCTACTTGAATGAATGTTCCAGTCTTTTTTTTTTTCAATAAGCTCACTACAAAGATGTATACTGCTCTAGGCTCCTACAGTCAAGTAGTCTAGTCACCTTCCGAGGTCTACGTGCCTTTATTCCCTTTGGTTCCAACCCAAAGGAACAATCTCTCCAAAGAATAAGATATCAGTTGTAGTATAATCCCTGATTTTTAAAGTGTACTTTCTGAATGAATACACCACTATCTCAAAGTCATATACTCTGACTTAGAACCCCAAACATAGCTACAGTTTTACAAATGCTTTTCGTGATCTCTAATTCAAATAATATCTTAGGTAAGGTTATTAATTAATTTTTGACAAGGGTTTATTTTTTCCAATTGTATGTTTAGAAGATAATTACAAAGTTATTGTTTTCATATTTCAATTTTCTTTAACTGAGGTACATCAGCCTTAGTCTCTCCCAAACATTTCCACTTTATCCCATGTACTTAATGATTTTCCCTAACCAATTCTTTTTCTTCTATAGCTTAAGAAAAACTTTTTCTATGTCTGTTCCTGTGTGTATGTTCCTATACATAAGGTGACTACACAGATGCTGCACATTCCTTTACTGTAAAGTAAAACTCTGAACTAGATATGTTCCTATTTTCATAACTAATGAAAGGAGAGAGATATGGCTATAAACAACAGTTATTAAAGCAGATGCACAACTTTTTATACACATACCTGAACTGTCTGGACTTGTGGAGACTGAATAACTGATGGCTGGGCCGCCTGAATAACTCCATGGACTTGAACTGTCTGCCCATTGGGCAGCTGTACTAAAGTTACGGTGGGAGCAGATGATGTTGCGTGAGCTGCTGGCATAGATACCTACAGTGTTGAACATGGAGAAAAATTACTATCACAGATACCTCCTTGGGAGTACTCATGTTAAATACGAAGCAACTTTTTAGTAGCAGAAAGATGACGTTCCTGCTAGATAAGTATTTCACTGGTGTGAAAGAAACTAATAATTAAATTTAATATTCTTTTTTAAAAGAGACTAAAAATGTCCCCCCACCCTCCCACTTTTCAACTCCTCCCAAATGATGAAAAACAAAAGCAACTTTAATGTAATATCACAATACACACACAGACTTCCTCGGACACTGTCATTACACGCACGTGTAGTGCTCTGTTTTCCCACCTGCCTTCACACCCAAGGTCTCATTCTGCTCCTCGAAGAAATCAAGACTGAATAATAAGAACCATCTCCATTTCAGAGACAGAAGAGCAAGTGCTCGAAGAGATTAAGTAACTTACCCAAGGTGAAGAGATATGTTAGCCTTGAGGAAACAGAAACGTTTTCAGAATATCACGTGTTAAATAAGCCATGTTCTAAAATATAATTGCTCTCAAACTGGGGCAAAACTTAGCTATTTAAGGCTACAACACACATACATCTTACAATATACAACATAGTTTTCTCTCTTACATTAATTATGTCTTTTATTAATGAAAATGTATTAGTAGGTATTATAACTGAAAATTTCTATGCCCCCTCCGATCACTAAACTTGTAATAGTTGATATTTTAAGGATTTATTTTCCTCTTGAAAGAATAAAAGAGCAGAGTTAAGAGAATATAAGAGAAATCAATTTTCTCCTGAGGCACAAAGGAGGTACTATTTTAATGAGTCAATATCCAGGTTAAAAGGGCTCTTAGGTCATACCTGTTTATCTGATGGTATTTATTGTTCCTGTGCTTGAACACATTTGGGGCAGGAATTTTATTTGCTCATTTGGTAAACAGTTATTGGGGACCTATGGGCTGGGAACAATGTTAGAACTGAAACTACAAAAATGAGAAAGACACAGGTTTTTGCACTTAAGGAAATTATTGGGGTACATGTGTGAAGGAATGGGGAAAAGAACACAAATAAACATAATTCAGCGAAGTAATGAAGTTTGTGAAGAGAAAAATGGACACACTGAGAAGAGCTACCCCTCCCCACCTAAGAAGAGGGAAGGCTACCAGAGAAGAATGTGAATTTGAAACAAAGAATACAAGTTAGGCAAGTTATTATGACTTGCAGGGGAAAGGCACAGAATTTCAGGCAGTAAGGGTAGCACTGGCAAAAGCAAAGAGAAACAGCATGGTCTGTACACTGCAGAGAGGGATGCCCAGTCATCAGTACCACTGGAGCACGTGCAGGAGGTGGGAGAGATGAAGTAACAGAGGCAAGCAAGGGTTAGATGGGCTAGTCATTAGATACCTTCTCCAAGTCACATTAAAGAACTTGCATTTTATCCTGAGGAGATGGGGAAAGGCACTGAAGGGCTTCTCAATTTCTGAATATCACAGTGAGGTCTGCATTTTATATAGCTCACTTTAGTGGCAGTGTGAAAGGTATTTATTTCAGAGGAAGAAAAGTGGAGGTGAGGAGGCCAACTGAGAAAGCCTATATAATAGTTAAGGTGAGATGATAAAAGCTAGAAATAGGCCCTAGTTGTGGTAGAGATGGGAATGAGAGAAGTGATTTAATGAAAATTCAGGGGGCAGACCAGAAAGGGCTTATGAATGATTGGTTGAAGAAGGCGAGATGAATCAAAGATAACTCTCATATTTCACTTCTGGGTGAGAAATGGTAGACTATGCCATCAATTGGAAACAAAGAACACAAGAAGTAAGAAGAAGCTTTTGGGTGGTTGGGGTGGTGGTGGAAGATGAGGGACCTGATCTGACATGTGAATCTGCAGAGATGTTTAGCAGGCAGTTAAGTATTTGTGAAGCTTGGGGCAAAGATCCCTATTGAATGTAGAGGTTAAAACCACGAAGTCCCATCTTTGGACAGTTAGGAAGTCCTTCCTCATTAATCACTTTCTCTTTGGCCACTATAAATCTCTTTCAGTTTTACCTGGTTCTCAAAATGTGGTCCATGGACTACCACCACTCCACTCTACCATTAGAGTCACACAGGGTACCTGCTGACAAAGTCAGAATCTCTGATGGAGCCAAGGACACTTTCTCCCACAGTGAAGTTTGAGAACTACAACCTTAAATTATTCAGAGGATTTCATCTCAATTCCATATAAAAGCTCTTCTAATATTTGAAGCCTAATCTGAGTATTTTCTAGGGTAAATATAACAAGCTAACTCAGCAAATAATTCATTTTCTACCCTGATCATTCTACATAATGGCTCCTCTTATTGTAAGCTTATAAAATACAGGTACATAAAAACAGGATAAAAATCACCTATTTCTACCACTCAAAGCTAATCTCTGTTAATATTTTTCCCGTAGATCTAGGTACTTTTAAGGTAGAATATATACAATCAATTTTTATAACACACTGTCATGGAATCTATTTTACCTTTGAATCCATTATAAATATCTTTCCATGCCATTAAAAGTCTTCTTTAACGGTTTTAATGGCTGCATAATAAAAATTACATAATTTGTTTAATAAATTCCTTATTACTGGAAATTTAGGTTTTCAAATTTGCCTATTACAAGAAAGCTTATAGTCATTCTTTTACCCAACTCTTTAGCTACATATATAAAAATTTACATTCTCATAGTCAAAACCAACATTGTTTTTTTCCACTTAAAAACGTCTCTGTAAATTCCAAAAGTAAAATAAGGTGTCTCATTATTCTTTCAGATTGATTTTCTTCCTTTACTAGTTAGGCTGCATTAGTTTTTTCCTGTTCATTGATCAAATCACAATGATCTTGGATCACAATTTTATTTTATCTTTCTAGTATTAAACGCTTACAGTAAAAAAAAATAGGTATCAGAATTATGAGAGAAAATTATGTCAAAAATGTATGATGTATGTGTTAAGGACTTGGATGAGGAAGTGAAAAAAAAAAACCCTGCAATTAGGAATAAAAAGAGCAAAAAATTAGACAAATGGGAACAGATACCAGCTTTCCTAAAAGTCAAATATCATGTCATTCCACTTTTAAAAGTCTTAAGTGTTAGAGGACTGCCTGGTAAGAACGACAAGCTGAACATGTGCATATAATTTTGCTCCTTCCTGAATCTCCAACGAAACTTCATCAAATTGATTTTGTTTTTACAGACATAATCACATAAGTATAGGAGATGGGAAAAGAGATAATAATAAGAGATTTGGAGCCTGGAAAGCAGATGGATGAATGGTAATGTACTTGGAAGACCTCAGAAGGCCAGCTCACGAAGTGGAGGCAGGGAGAGCCTGACTGCACCACAAAATTCCTGACGAGGCTCAGGATCTGAGATGCCCTGGAGGAGAGAAAGTGAGGCTGAAAATAAGGAAGCCTGGTGAAGGCTCTCTGAGAAGCAACTAGATTCCCTCCTTAACTCCCTGAAGAAAAACAGCTAATCTACCCTCCACTGACAGAAAAAGGGAGATTTATCTTCCAGACAGAGGGTCTCCTGACTACCTAACACCAGGGATTGCTGAAGGCGGGGTAGTAGACCCCAGCCTCACTCGGCCCCCAGGCCTCTACCCTATAAGCAGGGATTAATTAGTAAAGCTTTCTCTGGGGAACCTGACCAATGCCCAGGGAAAGAGGAAAGACTTAAAAGATACTGATACTGGGAATGCCACCCTCCAGTGAAGCTCACAACTCATAGATATTAGGTCCCAAACAGATCCACAGAGCTTCCAATACAGCTTTTTGGTCCTGTACGTTTAAACCTGAGCAGACAAACCACAAATTATCTAACATTTGAGGAAAGCTTCTAATATGAAAGATGGAGACCAAAACAAAATCTAATTAACATTCCCAGGGATAAGAGAAAGCATTGCCTTTGTGAAACAATAAACAGGATACTATTAAAACACAAAAAGGACTATTCAGAGAACAAAAGGAACTCTTGGAAACATGAGAGCAAAATAAAAAATTCAACAGATGGGTTGGAACGTGTAGTTGAAGAAATTATCCAAAGAGCAGAGCAAAAAGACAAAGAGATAGAAAACAGGAGAGAAAAGATGAGAAAATCAGAGAAAACAATCCTATAGGTATAACACCTGGATCACAAGGATTCTAGAGAGAAAAAAAATCATCACTCAACTTAAAGAAATTGCCCGGAATTGAAGACATGAGTTTCCACTATAAAAAGGCCCATTGAATACACAGCACAATGGATGAAAACTGATCCAAACCAAGGCCCTGATAATGAAAGTGAAGCACTGTGAACAGAGAGAAGACTTTTATAGGATATCAGAGATACAAAATAAAAAATGGAATCAGTCCTTTCAAACACCCATGGTACAAGTTGACTGTGGATCACTACCTTCGAAATTTGAAAGAAAAATGATTTCTTTACCAAGTCAAACTTGCCCAAGAACCCGCAGGAAAACATGCTTAATATCAAGAACATAAACTGCACAAGAGAAAGACAGTAGGGGAAGGAATCTCCAGGATGACCTGAGTCTAGCAGACTCAGAGGACAAGCAGACCGGACAGGATAGCATGACCCAAGAGACAGACATGTTGAGGGCTGTCATCGCCAAGATCCCTGCTGGCATTGTATCTTCTTTTCACACGAGGCCAAATGCCTGAATGAGCCCAGAATCTTATCTGTGCATGCTTGCCTTGACCAGGTACTGATGAAGTCCTGGCTCTTTCCCCTTTGTTCCAGCACCTGCCTTATCCATGTACATTCACTTCATCCCCAAACGTATTCTGCTTTGCCTTGCTCCTGAGGGCTAGAGGTGGGCCCTGGTGATCTCCGGAGAAAACACAAAGTAGCCCACTCCTTCTGACCATATTCCTGCTCGAGGTCCAGTATTTGGCCCACACTTTACCTCAGTGGCAACCATCTGTGATCAGCTGTTTCCCAAGACCCGTCCTTGCTCAGTGACCCCCCTAGGAAAGCTTTTACACTCTTTGGGAGGCTGAAACTCAACATCCCAGAGCCTCTGCTAGGATTATTTTCTCCTGGTAGCCATCATGTGAGAGAGGCAATGTCACACTCTTACCTAGCAGGTTTATGTTTGCTATTTGGTTTTTATATTAACCACCTTTCTCATTCATGTATACGCAAATACTTGTTAATAAAATAAAATTTTTGAGGAAAAATACATAAGAACAAAAAATAAGGATGAGAGACTATAACCTTAGAGATAGAACGTTTAAGACAAAGACAAAATGAAAGAATCATGGATTATATTTCAAATATACAGGAAACAAAAACTACTATCATCCTTGAAATTTACTTGTGTGTACATTTATTTGCTTATCCTATTTTCTAGTTTAAGCATATATAAAGAACCTTTCAGGTTATTACCCCCACGCCCCGAAATAAATTTGCGTGATATGAGAAAGTTATCATACCAGGTTTTTTTCCTTTTTAAGAGAGACAATCTACTCATCAGTTACAATCCAATTATTTCTAATCATGTTGCAACAAACAGTGTATTACTGTTTACCAACACATTTTCTGTTATGTTACTGAATTTATACTGTCATTCCTAAAACTGGGCTAACACCAATAGGAATTCTGATATTCTTAGAAGGCCTCTGCTCATTGTATGTGTATCTCTGTAATAAAAACGAAATTCTCTTGTCTAACACGTATTCCTTTTGGAAGAGAGACAACTTGGAATCTCTCCATGTATTTTATACCTGGGCTAATGTGGCAATCTGTGGCTGGGCTTGAACTGTCATTTGCTGGTTTTCAGCTTCTGTTACGGCTGCATCTCCACTCTGCTGGTTCTCTGCTCCAGATTCCATGGTCATTTAGTCACCTACAATAATATGGGAGAATGTTACAGGCACTACAGTGCTTTGTGCTTTTGTGACTCTAAAGCAAATTTCAAGTTAGAAATAGGTATATGTGGTGGTTAGGTTAGCAAATGCACCCAGAAATCTAGTTAAAATATAAGGTAGCTGAATTATTGTCAACTTGTCCAAATTTACTGAGCTGTGCAAGTTCTAGTCCCTTCAAAAAAGAAAAAAACTTCCCCCTTGACATTTCTTCCCAATGGGATATTACTCCATCTAGAAGTAAGAAGGGATTCCTCTCGTCTCAGAATCTCCCCTACTCAAGGGGCAGAGGGTGGCAGCAAAGTTAAAAGTTTTCCAAGCTGTAAGAATCAGGTGTGGAGAGAAGGCAGAGAGTAGAAGTGAGCTGATGACAGGTCTATGAGATACTGGCTTCACGGGATCTCCCAGAAGGGTATTCCCTCCTGTAATAGGGAAGAAGCAGAAAAATTATAAGCTACTTCCAGAGGAAATTACTGGTGGTAGGACAAAATCTACCCAAGTTTCAAGAGCCTAAGTTGTGGGGCATCAAGGTAGAAAGGTGGGACAAACAGCCACAGAGCCAAATTAGAGGCCCCAAAGAAAGAAAAGGCTAGTGTTCTCACTCCTCATCCTATGTATGGTGTGCTACACACATGCACACACATGAAATAAAACACCTTAAAAAACACAATTGCAAAATTCTGGATAAGTTAATCAAGGCTGATCTTTTTTACTTTTGGACGCTGCTTTTCTAAGGGCTTAGTATACCTGTTGAGTAATCTGGCACTGGATGGCAGCAAAAGTAACTTGAGAGCAATTCCTAGCAGAAGCAGCTACATGAGATTAGAGAGATTTCAGTAACTGGGGAAGTGATCGTACCTAAAGGATTCACAATAAAAAAGAACATATCTTACTTGCGTACTACTATCATCATTCAGTGCCTAGCATATTACCTGTCAAAAATGAACTTAGTAGTGAGGACTACCTATAGTGACTTCATAAATAACACAAAAACCCCAATGCTTTTCCAGAATTTATTACATTTATTTTATAACTCTGAAATCGATAATCAAAATTGTCACTGATCCTTATGTGATTATTACATGCCATCAGAATGTATCACATATCAATACATTTTGCCATCATTCACAGGGTTCTATAAAAAGAAAGTGCTTTACAAGTGACAGTTAAAAATGGAAGCGAAAATATCTCTGTAGAAATGAATATAAATAATTTAGAAATACAGAATTCACAAAACAGATAACAAAGGAAAAGATCAACAGACTTGACTATATAATTATTTAAAACATTCATGACAAAAGCCACCAAGACAAGAGCATAGGGAGAAAATATCTGCCATATATAATCAACACAGTAACATCTAGGATACAGAGAAACTACTAGTCAATAAGAAACTCATTATTGACTAGTTCACAAAGGTATTATGTTCAAGGATATTCACTGTAGAATTTTTTTATAATAGCAAAAAACTGGAAACAAGTATCCATAATTAGGAGAACCATTAAATAAATTACAGCAATGAAAAAGAATGACGTCTGTCTATAATGTAATGACATATAAAGCTTTCCAAGACAGACTGAGTGAAATTGCAAGTCACGGAACATACTGTAAAACTGAACCCCATTTATGTTAAAAACAAGTAAAACAAATTCTTGTAAAGGTGTACACATGGAAAAAGGTGTGGGAAGTACTCAGTGGTAGCTCCAAGGAGACGAGGATTTGGTAGAACTGCATAGGATGATGACTTTTACCTTTTACTATTTACATACTTGAGTATTTTAATATTAATTTTTTTCCTCCCAAAATTCAGGATTACTTGTACAATTAAAAAATTTTAATACCAGAAGTCATGGATAGCATTTTGAATCTATGAACCAAAAACAATATTATATTTCAATCATGATTTTGAGATACCTGTTAACAAAAAACTTTTTAAATCCCAGATACTTTTTATATGCAATTACTCTTTCTGTTAAAATTTTGCCTAAATTGTTTACCCTACATTCCCAAACAGTAAAAACAACTACTTTTAAAAATTACCAAATAACCTTAATTATTATCACTTGTGATAATTCACTGAGTTGTATACTTGCAATCTGAGCTCTTTTAAACTAAAAACTTGAAGACAGACATCCAAAGTAACAGAAAGCAACATCAACAACAAAACAGTTTACGTTATCCTAAATGTTGTCCATACTTTTGGTCTGGAAGAAAATGGCATGTGAGAGGGTAAAATCTAATCTTAATAACAGTAAGTAAATGAATCCATTTTAGGACAGTACTGAGTCAAGCTAAATAAGAGGAGAAATCCATAAACTCTTCTCCATCTTCTCCCCTAAGTCATGATTTTAATGAAAATTAAGATAAAATACAAATTTATCATCATAATCCCTCCTTTTTAGAAAGAGTATATGCAACCATTTTTAACAGACTTTACCGTAAGCCATGTTTTTTACACCTACACTGTCACCCATATGGTTTCACTCTGCCATCTGATTATGTCATCCATATGGTCTCAGCCTGCCATCTGATTAAAGCCTCCTAAGGCACAGATCTCTCTCTTTTGTTTTTGTTTACTTTACATCAGACGTACTTAATTTTTTTTGACATTTAATGTATAGGGCATCATCACAACTTTCTGTTTCAGAAAGTAAAATATTTATGACTATATTAAAATAAAGGAACAAACCCCATTAGCTAACATAAGTAATTATAGCTACAAAGACATTCAAAACAGGAAGGCAATTTGCATCCTCCTTCCCTCCCCAACTAGATAATATTCTTTCTCTTTAAAACAAAACGTGGTATTTCCAATGGACAGGATCCCCATGTAAACTGCCAGTGTTTTATTATCATTTCATTCAGGCAGACTACTAATCCTTTTTCAGAGGAAGGGACCACCTTCTTAATTTTTATAACTCTTAGTTTGAGCAGACATCAACCACTTGGGCCACAGTACAAATAGCGTCTTTCATCAGAAAATTCAGGCCTTTTTCAAAGTACAGGTGAGAATTATTTAAGGAAGAACAATTTGTTTCAGATGAGAAACTCAATGACTCAACTAGAACAGATACTATTCTTTCGGTTTTCACTTTGAAGGCACTAAAATGAAACAGCAACCTCCCAACTAGACTAAACTAGCATTTAAAGTGGATGCATTAATTTTGGACTTTGAATTCTTTCGCTCTTCATTCATATCTTCGGGTGGGAAGAGATGCTATGGTATCACGTGTATAATCTTCAATTTTTCTAATAACTCAGGAGCAGTACAGCCAGCAGTGCAGTATCCAGACACAGGATCAATTAATAGAGCCAATATGTGGGTTTCCAAAGTTGTTTGAAGAAAGGAGATTCCTAAGTCATTACACAAATAAATGCTTTTCAAGACTGCAAGAACAATAACAAAAAAACTAAATAATACTATAAAATAAGAAAAAGATCAGGTACATATGAACGCAGAAAGAATGTTGTATACATACTGGGCCTGGAACAATAGAAACAGAACAGATCTTAGAAATCACGGAAATCTAGTATTAGCTTAACAGTATTGTGATTCTTATTCTTCCAACAATTCTGAATTGTAAAATTTATTTGGGATTGAAATTTAAGATTTGGGGATTTTCATGATTTATCCCTAAAAATTAACATAATCCTTTGGAAACTATGAATTTATAATAAATTTCAAAATAGTGGCATGCCTAAAAGGAACAAAACTTTTAAAGCCAATTCACAAAGATACATACCATTTTGCTTTAATGGTCTTTAGAATTCTCTCTCTTAATATGAAAAATAAAAAGCGAAGTGATTCTGTAGTATTATTCACCCAATCCTGAGACAGACAAAGGATGCTGCTGTTAAGTAGTTGGGAAAGGGAGCCTAACACTTGCTGGAAAGTGACATCTGTTACCAGGTGGTTGTGGGACAAATTAAACTTTTTGTGTTTCAGTTTCCTCAACTGTAAAAACAAGGGAGATGGATTAAAAGATCTCTTCCAACTTTAAATGCTCTATCTGAGGAACTGACACTACAAGATATACGTACAAACACATAATTATGCAGGCCACTTAATAAAATAACATATATAGTAAATGAAGGCAGACTGACTAAGTATTAATAGGTCACCTAGCCTCTTGATCTTGGTCAAATACGGAAACACTACCACTCATTTATATATATGTATCATGAGCATGCAATACAACTTGAGATGATTCGAAGCATTTTAAAAATTATTCTCTCTCTCAAATGGTAGACAGTGTCTCTTTTACTCATTATGTTGCCCTGGTCATAACTGTTACTATAGTTATTAACTAGTTTAATCATCTCTTTTCTTAATTTTCAAAGAGGATAAAGCAGTTTTTCCTTTCCATCTTAGAAAACTTCAAGAATCTATCTGACTGGAGCTGTATCTCTTTTTGTACCCTTTACACAGTAAAAATAACAGATATTTAAAAGTTTAAAACGTAGGGGCCAGCCCCGTGGCTGAGCGGTTAAGTTTATGCGCTCCGCTTCAGCAGCCCAGGGTTTTCCAGTTTGGATCCTGGATGCAGACCTACGTACCGCTCATCAAGCCACAGTGTGGTGACATCCCACATAGAAGAACTAGAGGGACTTGCCACTAGGATACACAACTATGTACTGAGCTTTGGGGAGAAAATAAATAAATAGGAGGAAGACTGGCAATAGACGTTAGCTCAGAGCCAATCTTCCTAACCAAAAACATACCTTTAAAGAAAAAAAGTTTAAAGTGTAGTTTAGATAAATGTCCCAGTAGAGTGCCAAATGAGTGCTTCCATGACATTTAAAAGAGAATATACTCTGCAACAATCAAGACAGTGGTGGACTTCCAAAGGGGCATTGAGGATGAATACAATATTGATAAATTTGAGGAAGGAGGATAACTTTTTTGATAAGAAGCAAAGGCTTAGAGTAAGCCTTTAGAGAAATGACTGAGGCAGTGGCTGGTGTCAAGAGTTTGTATAGAAGGAAGGAGAGAAGACAAATAATACAGAACCGTCACTCCAAAGCAGTCAGTAACTACTAGCACAAAATAAGAATGAGAGAATGAGGCCTCAAAGTAATTTGGTTTAAAATTTTTATACTGCAAGGAATTTACTTCTACTTTAGAGAGTAATATATCCTGAGGGAATTCACAAGTAAGGGAATTTGCTTCACTTTTTTAAGACGAACAATATCTTCAGTTTTAACAATTTATATACATTATACTTCTATTCTATCACCATAGCTGAGCACTCATATGTCAGACACTGTTGAAGTTACTGGGGATAAAGAAATAAAATAAATTTTTAAAACTTTGCCTTTGCGGAACTTCTATTCTAGTGTGTCGGAGCAGGGGAGGGAAAGTAAACACAAAGTATAACAAATCAGATGGTGACAATTATTGTGCAAAAAATAAAGCTGAGAGGGATGCTGGAGGGATTTTCAAGACTATAAAAGCTGACCAGTGCAACCCTCATGGATAAAGCAGCACTTAAATTCACCTACTCAGCACCTAGACAGGACTCCAAATCAAGGACAAATTTCTGGCAGCACTGTTTCTGACTTATCTGCCTCTACCAAATTAACTAAAGCTCATTAAACAAGAAAGCAAGGCTTTATCATCACTTTTGCTAAAAATCATTAAGCAAAAGGAAAGAATGTTGCAGAAATTCACCTTGTTCTTTTTCCTAAAATATTTTGACCTTTAAGAAGTGCCCCAGCCCCTACAATCCTAAACATTCTAGCTCAAGTTGATGAAAAATAAACCCATCTCCCCCACAACCTGCTTTACTTTTTAATCCCTTAAATCTATGATGGATTTAATCTAGTTGAGAATGAAAGGTAAATATTCAGAGAAATAACTGTGAATCTTGACTCTGAAGAGAAACAATGTATTCATAACTAATGGAACATATGAATACATGCTGTGATTTAAAAAAAATGCAAATGACCTTTATTACAAATGAGAAAAAAACCTTGCCCACACCCTTGCAAGGGGGTGACTTCTGAACTCTCACCAATCCAAAAGTCCAGGAATTTAAGGAAATCACATAAGCAGCAGTCTAAAGTCTCCAGGGTAACCACAGCAAAAGGCTCATTTGGACACATGGTTTTAAAACTAAATGACTATTTTGTTGTCATAGTCAAATGTATTACTAAAAATATTTTGCAGAGTATACCCAGAAACATCTAGGGATAATACATAATACTTCCTACCTATTTACTTTGTACCTGTTATTTAGTTGTTATAACTGAAAGCCTTGTTAACACATTCTTAACACACTCGGGACATGCTAATTTTCTAAAGTATTATGATTAATTTACTAAAGAGGCAAAATGTTCAGGGGCTACACAACAGACTCTAGCTTTCTAGGAATCAATAACTATGTTGCCTCTTTGCCTCCACTTTTTTCCCCGTTACTAACCTTAAATACTTGTCATTTATCTTTACCTTATGTCCAATCTAGCAGAACTGAGAGGTATGCAACCCTTACTTGAAATTACGCAATGTTCCAGGTTTCTGATGCTAGTAAGTCTTTCGTATTAAATACAGTATATCTTCTCTGAAACCAGATAGGAAAATGTTATATTCAAATGTTGTCTGTGTACATAGGCATGTCTGCAGATATATGTACATGTATGTATACACATGTATATATGTACACACACCCTCAACACACATCACATATCAACTTCAACTATAAAAACTTTACTAGATTAGACTGATCACACCCTAATAAAATGAGGCTATATACATTTTTAGGAAAAGTTAAAATAGGCAACGAGATAAACTAAAACAAATTGGTGTCTTTATCAAGGTAAGTAAATTCTGACATAGTATTCAGGAACACTTTTCTCTGTGCTCCTATCAAGGTCTTTCTCCTTTAATTGAAGAACAAACCCATATTTCAGCCTCTAGTCTACATATTAGAGAAAGGCAAAGAGAAGTTGCATATGAAGTTAATTCTGTGTGATTTGAATTTGACAAGATTTAATCATTTCTAAGACAAAAATAAAAGCCTGAAAATGTTTATATATTTTTATAAATTCTTTGTATTAATAGTAAATACAAGTATAACCTGACCACTACTACCAAAAAGCAGGCAGCAACAGCAAAGGGGGTTGGTCTTTCTAATGTCATTTAATAAAATCAATTCCCTGATGATTTGTTTACTGGAAAAGAGAAACTGCCTGAAAGTCAATATTTTTATTTTATGATTTATTGTAGTTTTGTGATTACCAGAGTATTTTAATGCTATTTTTAAAAGGTTATTTTTAAATGTGTACCATGTGCTATGAGAAAGATACATCCTCATAGGAAGTGACTTAACAGAAGTGAATTAGAAAAATGTTACTTGATCTATAGAAACACATTGCACGATTTATGATATGCATCTTAGAATATGTGACATTCTATAGTACCTTTCAATAAGAAAGCTTTACTGCTTTCTCAAAGTTTTTTTTTTTTTTAAGTATTGGCAAAATCTATCTGTCTTGTTTTCCTTCAGGATAAGACTACTCATGGCTCTGAAACAAGCTTTCATATATCTGGGCACCAAGAGACAGTGTTGCTTAGCAAAACAGCAACCATGACTGTGCATTATTTTAGATAATGACATTTTATCCCATCTCTTTCCATGATCCTTTCTTTCCAAACACCCACCTAATACTATGTTTACAGTTCTACACCTTAAGCCTTTCAAATGACCGATCCTACATAAACTTCTACATATGAAGTTCTACTAAATGAATTTTTAGAGCTGGATTTTTTTTTAAAGGAAAAAAGGATTATACACCTCCTACATACAGTTACTTTTAGAAAAGCAATTTTTGTGCTGACTAAAGAGTGAAACTGTCTTCAAGTGTTAGGTTCTGCTTCACAAACTAGCTCAATGCTGAAACTCTAAGGACCCATAAAAATTATGCCCTAAAGTTAAATATTCATACCCTATTATTCCATTTACTTAACAAAACCTGAGGGACTATGTGAAAATCACTACATTCTAAATGGAAAATGAATGTTCAAGTGTTTTTTAAAAATAAGTTCATAAAGTTAACATTTGGTATTTTGACAGTTCTGTTTTGAAATAAATTTTGAAATGCTATTCCTGGTGAATTATTTACAAATTAGACATGGAAGAGTGAAAATTCAGTTTTCCTGAAGTAAGACAACACATGTTATAGTAGGAGTCATAAGACAGGAATTCTGGTTTTAGCTCTGACTTCACAGATGGAGAACTAGAGAAGTAAGAGATTTGTAAGGAATTTACAAGACTGTTCAGGGCTATACCACATAGCCTCCAATATTACAAAAAGTGAAGAATTCTTTGTATATTTGGCAATGGAACTGCATGGACTATTAAGCAACAACATGCTAATCATTTTAATATGTTTTGCTAAGTAGAAAAAAATCCAAGTACTCAAGGCATCAAGGATATACTGGACTATATTTAAAAATTAGCAGGGTTAATCAACAAAGCTAATAAATGACATGCAGGCAACAGCAAAGACTTTATGTACAATTTTAATAAAACAATCACTTCAAGTTTAAGTCTCTTTATCTTTAACGCTGAAAGCATCAAGTCCCATCTTTCAGGTAGCTGTACTATTTTTTACCAACCCGGTTGTGATTTCTTGTAAAATGATTTTGATTCATACAATCTCATGCTATTTCTCATGTTTCAGAGGCAGGAAGTATTAGTAAAGCAGAGTTACTGAAAACATTCTTTTTAAACTATGGAAAATGAACCTAATTTCCTTGGCTTTTAAAAAATAAATCTGTAATTTCAGTAAGTTTTAACTGTCTAAAGGATATACATCAACTTCCTTTAATCTGTGCAACTCTAAAGGGGGATGGCTTTTAATCCTGCCTTTCAAATTTGTGACCCTTCAAGAGGGAATCATTTATTAAACAAATTTTCTGTGCCTATTACATAATAAGTGTTCTACTGAAAACTACGGGGAATATAGTTTAAGGCACACAAGAACCTCTCTCTCAAAGAGCTTCCAAGCTAATCAGAGATGAAGTATGTACTCTATAAAAAAGGGCTGGGCAAGTATAAACTAATATCCTTACGACCAGTCTACTTATGAACCCCCCACCCCCAACAAGTACTTAAAAACAATGATTTGAAATCATAAACTTCTTTTTTGAAATGACAGGAATACAATGAATTATGGAAAAAAGGAAAGCATGCACTGGCCATTTATGGTAATCTTTCTACTGATGCAGACCTGATTAGTAAGATAATGAAATCAATATATTTCTTTAAGACCTTGACTAGAATATTTCCTCCAAGTGAATTTTTATAAACCCAAACCACTACTGTTTAGGAGAAAAATTCTAATAATCATTAATAAAGACAGAACCTTGAAAACTTTCTTCGCAAAGAGGTAACGCTACAAAAGAATGATGAAGACTGCTTTACTGTTATTTCTTGCCCAGGGAAAAGGCTTTACCAACAAGTAAATCATTTCAATTCTCCAGGGCTCAGTTTA